GAAACATTTTATTCCGTCCGTAGGTTAAACATAACCACATGTATCTTTAGACTTCTGATGTTCATAGTTCCATATCTTAGGATAGGCATCAAGCCTAATTTATGATGTTTGACATTATACATTTTAGGATTAAGGACCAAAGTTAATCTAATATTCATGATAGGAAGAACAGCTTATATTATCCTGAAGTCTTTGGTTTATGCTTTCTTTTAAAATGAAAATGTATTTTATATTTTGATAAGATGTGTTTTCATTGGAGAAATTGATGTGTGTATGGGGGCAAAGCAAGCCTCTTTGGCAAAGCTTTGGCAAATCTCTTAGATCAAGAAAAAAAGCAACCATCTGGCCTGCGTGGTTCAGTGGTTGAGCATTGACCTATGAACCAGGTGGTCACAGCTAGATTCCTGGGCACATGCCCGGGTTGTGGGCCCAATCCCCAGTACGAGGCATACAGGAGGCAGCCGACCAATGATTTTCTCTCATCATTGATGTTTCTATCTCTCTCTCCCTCTCCCTTCTTATTTGAAATTGATAAAAATATATTAAAAAATGAAATAAAGCAGCCTCGTGCACCAGGTCCTGGGTGTGCTTACTCAGCATTTCCTGATTCACTCATCTCCATGTCCACGAAGTCCTCCTGCAAATCCACGCAGAGTCCAAGCTGACTCCCTGGTCCATGTGACAGATTGGTTTTATGTAGCCAGAGAGATGGATTAATGGTTTCAGCAAAAAGCTGGCATGTTCAAGAGATTTAATTTTTTTTATATAACAGTTTTAGCCAAAGCTGTCCTCGAGCCCAGTGGAGGCGGAGTTCCACAGGAAGGCACACTGGTTGACTAATGACCAATCACTAAGCAGCAGGGAGGGCAAAGCCCCCGGGTGCGGCATCGCAGACGTTCACAGAATGCCTTATCTTACAAAACTCCTTTTGTTCTTGTTTTGCCTGATGGTTCTTGTGGACAGCGGAAAGCTCAGGAGGAGGAGAGGGGCAGGGCAGCTGGCAATGCCCCAGCCAAGGTAAAGGGGGTGAACGGGGAGGGAGGGCAGGAGCACTCCCGTGTCACCCGCAGTGAGAGCAGAGCCAGGCTGGGCCGAGCCCCCATTCGGATGTCTGTGTTCAGCCAAAGCATTTTGATTTGAGGCAGGTCGTTGAAAACTTAATAGTAAAACATCTTCGTCTTCTCAGGTGGAGCTGCTTTGTAGCTCAGGGTGACCTTCCCTCCATCTCTCCCTGCTTCCCTTTTATTCTCTCTCTCCCTCCCCTACACACCCTCCCTCTCTCTCCCTCTCTTTCTCCTTCCCCTCCTTTTCCTTTTTTTGTTTAGTGATACTCCTGTCCGTAGAATATTGCTTGAGAACATTTTGGACTTGACTGCTTTAGATTATGTGTGGTGGTGGCGAGAAAAAAAATC